ACATAATATATAAACTATTTATTCGGTTAACATACGAATACACTTATAAATGAGAGCTACGACTGATGCTCACTTGACAACGGACGGGGCCTATGAGATTAAATGTTATAATTGTTTGAAACGCAAAGGATGAATTTAGATTGTCTTGCGCAGGCGCATCGCGAAGTCATTGCTTTCGTTATACACGTTCACATGATTGTTAAGAGTGGATACAGGTGAACATCGAATATATTACAATAGAACGTGTTTTGTTATGACTCTATATATGTTAGGAGGGCTCGCAACTATAGTTAATAACCAGACACAGAGTTAATTATGCTGTACTCAAGGTAGCTGCGTGAACGCACGTGGGCCTTCCCGACGCTATCTCCCTTGCTGCGCGTGCCTCGTGCGCGTTATCCCCACACGTAAAGGTTCGCTCACACAACAGAACGAAGAAAATAACACGTACACGACAAACATTACTTATAAACATATATATCAACTTTCAACATTTACATAAATTGGTAAACTGTTCCAAGAATAATATTAACTTATCAAAAGTGAGAAAATATAATTAAGGAAGAGATAATATAAAGAAAGAATTGATCAAAAGTGATAACAAATCAAATATAAATACGAGCATAAGTGTTAAACATTCAGTTTGAACTGTATCTTGCAAAGACACTCTTCGTACAAAAAACTTTTGTACAAAAACTCTTTCTGCAAAATCTGATGGTTTCTAACAATATGTCTACGAAAACTGGAGACTCAGAAGATTCTTTGAAAAGTTCAAATGAGTATAGATACGTGATGATATTTAAGAGCAAATTCGAGCGAGAATTATTTCCCAACAATTTCAACATGTGGACTGTACGACAACAGTACATGTGGATAAACGATAACATCGCCGCATTCTTTCCGAACGTACCAAAGTCATTATTAGATCTCATTCCGGCCACTTTTCGCCCAGGGGATTGCCAGTCATCGATGCAGATACCTGAATGGTTGGACATGGATAAATATCGCAGGGGGCAGAAATTTGTGCGTGAAAATTTTGCGGCACTTTTCATTGCTAAAATACTGGGCGTTATACATGTATATTCCTTCAATGAATTTATAAAACCGATAATTATATCAAAGGGCTCCCATACACCATACTTAGGTTTTAAAAGGTATGTTATATAATTTAATTTATAATTAATTTTCTGTGATATAGTTTGTACCCGCGAATACTTCGACTCGTACAGAAAAACAATTAAATAGTTCAATGGCAAAATTCAATATTCGCTGAGAATATTTAATAATTACGTTCAGCAGAGTCAGCCGATTTTCACGATTCTTTAATATGATTGGTTTATACTTATATATTTAGATCCAGTAAGGAAATTAACCAATCATATCTATCAAAAAACCTAACAAAAAAACTGCAAAGCTTTTTCTGTTTTTTCTGTTAAACGCGACCAATTTTCCGCAAAATTACTTGCTATACGCTATATTTATTAATATTATAGATTTTTATTTTATTATTCTTTTATTTCATTTGTATATTATATTATGTATATTTTATTAATATTATATTTTTATATTTATATTATTTCTCTTGATTACATTTTATAAATACTATTATACGGTATTATCTTAGAACATATTACTGGAAGGAGAATTGCCTATACCGTTCATGTATCAAGCTGAAGGCTGAAGCAAACATCTGTGCGAAAGAAAAAGGTATAGATTCCCAATTGTCCGAATGCGCATATGCCATTCAGCCTCCACTTAGCTCCGTTTTTTATTTTTTTTTTTTAAAGATTTTTGAAAAATAAAATATTAGGCAAAACGGGCTGAGTGAGGGCTGAATGGCACATGCGCATTATGGACAATTGGGAATCTATATCTTTCTCTCTCGCACAGATGTTGGCTTCACGTTCAGCACTCTATTCTCCTTCCAGTAATATATGTTCTAAGGGTATTATACGCTAATTTTCTGACATAACATTAAAAAATTAATGTGCATTTTTTGTTAAATTAATCGTAATAATGTAATTAACTTGCAAGGTATACCTCGACCATACAACGATTCGTCAGTTGGTATGAAGGTGAGCCTTGGATTGAAGGAACGCCAGCTTATAAAGACATGCAATTTACGCGAAAAATGCATTTAATGATACAATCAAAGTTGGGCAAGCTTGATCACGAGCAAATCGACAACGAGTCCAAAATCGCGGAGCCGTGGTGCCCGGATCGTGAGTTGTTTTTACAGGATTTTGCCGCGGCGTGTCCACTTGAGAAAGACGGACAATTTCCTACCATCGTGCTTGACAAGTCGCCATACAAGCCGAAAGGTGTCAATAACGCGGACATGGCAGGCAT